GGGGTACCTGCCCTGATTGTTTTCTGATGTGTCCTGAAACCAAATTAAGATCACTGAAGTGACACAATCGGCGTCAATTTTTAATTTGTGAGGTTTATATCTGTATATGTGAAAGGTTACTACTATCTTGTTATGGTGGTAAGGCAGGGGCGGATCCAGGATTATCAAAAAGGGTGGGGGGCAAGAAGTTTTGGGTGGGAGAACATGGCGAGCAAAGCGAGCCAATGAGTGGGGGGGTGATGAGCTGTGGCCCTCAGAAAATCTTTTGACATCTGACCAATATCATGGGCATTTTGAGGCCATTTTGAAACTATGTGAGCTTGATATAAGGAGATATTCTGAGGTCAATAGTAATTACTTTTACTGTACAAAAATGCCTGAGTACAATACTATTAAAGAAAAAGTACTGGAATTTTCTGACGAAAAGGGGGGGGTTGAACCCCCAGGACCCCCCCCCCCCGAGGATCCGCCCTTGTAAGGCTATGTTAGATCTGCAGCTACCGTCATCGTTTTACCAAAATTTATATATGTAGCACAACCTTTGGAAATTAGTGTAGAAAGGACCCCCAAATGGGTCCGAAATGGTGGAGTTGTCCTGCGGAACTCCTGGTGCTGGTGCCTCCAGGTTACAAAATTGAGCTTTCAAACTTTTCATTGTTGCCAGAAAAGTTTAGCAGTGACACATCTACAAATATAGAACATTACCAATAATTTAGAATAAGTAGGCTTCAGATATGAAAGGCGAGATAACGGAACAACAAAGATAGTGTCTGGATATTTTGAATGAAAATAAAGTTTTAGTTTGTTGTGTTTAAATTTGTAAGTAAAAGTTGGCGCACCCTTGGCATACTTTTTTTTATTATTATTTATTGGGCACTCCCCTACAGCCTTGTGCAAGGTGAAGCGCAGAAGGGTTTACAGTGCCCAACAGGGAAGCATGCTAAGTTCATGCTTGCCTTTATGTCACGAGTTAAGGGAGTAGAAGCCTGGAGAGTCAATGGTTTTATATTGTAGTGGAATTCTCCCCTACAAACGCTGTTTGTCGCTGCCTAGCCGACCCCACCAATTCCCCAGTGTATGCCTCGTGGTCTAGGTCAACCAGCGCCGCCATACACCACGGAGCGGGGGTCAACTGCTAAGCCACGCCTACCCCCGCTATTTAAGACCTGACCTCGTGGTGATCTCTCTCTTTCTACCTACACCAACCAGCCAGCAACACCTCCTCCTGCCTGGCGGTCCTTGCTCCTCCGCCTGCCTGGCGGTCCTCTCTCCCGCTGGCGAGTATGGCGACCCACAAGCTGTCCTTCTCTGAGCGTCCTCACCAACCAGCTCTCTCTACATCACGCTTGTAACCATGCTGCCTTCCCAGCACCAAGCTGCATTGTACATCCAATACAACATGTATATAGAGAGCACATCGTGAGTTTCCTTTCTCCATTCCATCCTGAGTGTGAACCAAACAATCTCATACCCCACAAATGGTGACTCCCGGAGATTCGCACTCACACAGGATGGAGGAGAAACTGATCACGCTCCCAGTCTTCAAGCAACATGGAAGACTGGCTTATCCACACAGAAGCAGCTATCATCGGCTCTACAACTACTGTCTCTACACCGCAGGTTAGACACCCTAGAGCAGCTCTGCTACTCTAAGCAGACACCAGCTCCTCTTCCTGCCCCAAGCACCACGTCCTACCGACCCCAGCACACCCGTCCTGCCTCAGACGCCGACCCCGGCCCAGCAGTAACCCCTGCCGCCCCTGATGCGGCCTCTGTTCCTGAGTGCGGACCCACACACCCCTCTTTTCTCCCTCAGGTACTCCCTGCTAATGTCCTGCACCCTGCTGCTGTCGTGGACCCAGCTGCTGTCACGAGCCCTCATCCGCTGCTGCTGACACAGCCCCTGCTCCTGACCCAGGTCCACACACCCCAGCAGGCGCATCTGTCGACTCTGTACCTGCCGTGAGGGAAGCACAACATTCATCGCCTCCACACACCCTTATTCTCCCTCTCTACTCCCACAGATATTGTGTATCTAGACAGTTGTATCCAGCGACCGGCTCATCACGCCATCGCCGTTGTCTCACATGAGGCACGCACCGCCCGTTCTGCCTCACATGTGCTATGCAACTCTGCAGACAACAAGTCTCCTACACAGCCTGGAGGGAAGGGGGAGTATTGTAGTGGAATTCTCCCCTACAAACGCTGTTTGTCGCTGCCTAGCCGACCCCACCAATTCCCCAGTGTATGCCTCGTGGTCTAGGTCAACCAGCGCCGCCATACACCACGGAGCGGGGGTCAACTGCTAAGCCACGCCTACCCCCGCTATTTAAGACCTGACCTCGTGGTGATCTGCTCTCTTTCTACCTACACCAACCAGCCAGCAACACCTCCTCCTGCCTGGCGGTCCTTGCTCCTCCGCCTGCCTGGCGGTCCTCTCTCCCGCTGGCGAGTATGGCGACCCACAAGCTGTCCTTCTCTGAGCGTCCTCACCAACCAGCTCTCTCTACATCACGCTTGTAACCATGCTGCCTTCCCAGCACCAAGCTGCATTGTACATCCAATACAACATGTATATAGAGAGCACATCGTGAGTTTCCTTTCTCCATTCCATCCTGAGTGTGAACCAAACAATCTCATACCCCACAATATCATCAAGTTATTGGAAGCTCCAACAACTTGTCCCTGAATTCGAATTCGCAACTTTCGATTTACACCAGGTACCTACTTTACTGCTAGGTGAACAGGGACTAATGGGGGCTAGGAAGTATGTCCAAACAACTTCCACCGGCCCGGGAATCGAACCCGTGACATCTCGCTTGCGAAGGCAAGAGCGGTACCACTCTACCACCAGCACCCCCCCCTGGCATACTCTTAAAATCTTGAGAACAAGAGAGCAGGCACGTATTCCTCCTTCCCCGGACCATTAGAGGATCAAAGTTGCACCTCAACACTTCCCTAAAATAGCCAAGCCACAACCCACGTGACCTCGGTAGCGGGTCTTCACAACAAGGCTCGCCCTCTGCCAACACTCGCCTCGTAAATCAAAGAAAACGCGCATTGGATACTATTTTGTATCATTTTTTATGGTAAACGGGTTATTCAATAATTCGAAATGTTAATTAACGATGCTTCGATTCCGTCAGTAGTTCAAAACCCAGGATACATTGCTGTAGTTGGATCTGATAACTATTCACTAACAGGAATTTAATTTTCAGTCATGCAACTAAACGACGGAGTGAGGGAAGGATTACAACGGCCAGTTTTAGGGTGAGTACAGTGAGTCAGAGAGGACAGTGTGACAGCTACACGTGAGTTGATGACGAAAATATTCCTGATATATTTAGATGTGCGTGGTATGCCTGTGGGGGAAGGAGAGAAACATAAAGATTGAGTGATTCTTGATGCGAAAAATACCTACAGCAGTACATACAGAGGTTACGTACATTGCATCTTTCTATTCAAATTGGAATTTCGATATTTTTGGGATTAGGTAACACAGAGAGAATAAAGTCGCTCAAATGAAAATACATAATTCCCACACCTGTATTATTTTTTTTAAATAGGTATATATTTAATGCATCCTCCGAAAGCGTGAATTTGATGCCAGAGTTAAACAGTTAATTCATGTATAGTAATTCTGATAAACTTACTACGTACTTATGTTTGAATTAATGAATGTATGTATCTCTTTATAATTTAGCTCAATATATTTCTCGTCAGAAGAGGTCATCCCAACGATTATGAATAAACTCATTTAGAAATGCATCATTACTTTAGGACGAAATCGGATATTTGAAACCGCCAATCAGCTGTAACTCTTGAGAATGGGGCGGGCATCTCTTCTCGGCTGGGAAAAACCTCATTATAGGCATGACCAATTGAGTGAACAAATTTCGCTTGACATAAATTTCAAAATGTACGCGACATAATTTTTTTAAAACTCTAATAATGTTGATGGTACAGCGGTTAACTCGCTAAACTCTCACCAATATATCAAGAGTTCGACCCACGCTCTGGACGTCTGAGTTTTTTCCTGAGAGCTTCCGTCATTTTGAACAAGAGGCACCGTCGCAGTGTTTGAAGCGACGCAGACTTTGAAGAAAGAGAGAATAAAAGACGATCATTCATGCTTGGCTTACTATTGCATATCCTAACGTAATAGATACTAATACAAACAAATAATAGCCTAACCTAACCTAGCCAGCACGGTCAAGATAGAACGAATTCTTGCTGCCACCAGCTGAATGTACAGTGGTCCTGTAGTGGATTTCTCCCCTACAAACGCTGTTTGTCGCTGCGTAGCCGACCCCACGAATTCCACAGTGTGTGCCTCGTGGTCTAGGTCAACCAGCGCCGCCATACATCACGGAGCGGGGGTCAACTACTAAGCCACGCCTACCCCCCGCTATTTAAGACCTGACCTCGTGGTGACCTGTCTCTTTCTACCTCCACCAACCAGCCAGCAACACCTCCTCCTCCTCCGCTGCCTGGCGGTCCTCGCTCCCGCCGGCGAGCATGGCGACCCACAGGCTGGTCCTCCTCTGAACATCCTCACCAACCAGCTCTCTCTACATCACGCTTGTAACCATGCTGCCTTCCCAGCACCAAGCTGCATTGTACATCCAATACAACATGTATATAGAGAGCACATTGTGAGTTTCCCTTCTCCATCCCATCCTGAGTGAACACCAAACATCCCGTACCCCACAGTGCCGCGCTTCAAACACTGCGACGGTGCCGCTTGTTCAAAATGACAGAAGCCCTCAGGAAAAAAAAAATTCGCGGCCCAAAGACACGTGAGAAGAGTGTTATCCAGTGTGACCCTACCAAACACCACAGGTTTCCCCCTGTACTAACACTGGATAAACCGCCCAAACGGCTACACTAGTAAACTGATAAGTGGTGATAAAAAAAAGAGCAAACTTTCTCTTTAGGCTCCCAGTTGGACACAAAAGACAAAAATAGATAAACATTAATAAAAACCGTACAGTACTCACAATTCTCGGTCAGCCTCGGCGAACATGGTGGTGACCGAAGAGAATAAGCTGGACATAATGAAGCTTATGCTGTCTCTGTCTTTGTTGGTGGTGCTGCTGTTGTTGTTGCTGTTGCTGCTGCTAACTCGGTAGATGTAGCAGTCGTGGTTGTTGAGGGCGGGCTGTTTTGTCGTACCTTTTGTTACAGGAACTTTTGTTGTTGCTGTTGATGATTCGGTTGTAATTGATACTGTATCTCTCAATGTAACTTTTCCTTTTTTGCTGCTACAGTTGTTACTGTTGCAATTGTTGATCCTGTTAGTACTGTTATCGCCACAGCTTCTCATACCATTGTTACTTTTTGCAAAAAAAATTGCATTTGTCGTAGCTACTGTTGCTGTCGCTGCCGTTTTGACTGTTGATGCTGTTGATGAGACGTAGTGATGATGTTGCTCATTTCCTGCAATAAAAAGTTGAGGGAAACACAATAATGTAGAATTAGTAGAAACTTTAAATATACATCGGCGAAAGTTTATTTTGTAATTAAATTCTTCAACTTGTTTTATCCTGTTGATGAAAAAACAACCCGAGAAAATAATTATTACGAGGAAAATAAGATAAATCCTCTGTAATTAATCGAAAAATTAATTCTATAATGAGAGTAACTTAAAATACTTAATTGTTGCATTAGAAGTAAAATTCTCTCTCTCTCTCTCTCTCTCTCTCTCTCTCTCTCTCTCTCTCATTATGGTATCGGTATCCCAAGTACTTATAGAAACTCGGGAATTTAAGTCAAAGAAAATTGGATAATGGTGCCTGAAGCCTTGTGTCAGTGCCGTAAGCTTTAGGACAGTCATACCCACTCTCCCTTGACACTACAGGGAGCCCCTTGATATTACCAGGATCGCTTTGACAATTACCGGGAGCCCTTTGACAGTACAGTATCATTGTATCAGGAACTTCTTGACAGCACCGGGAACCACTTGACAGCACCGGGAACCACTTGACTTTACCGGGAACCCATTCACAGTACAGGGATCCCATTGACAGTACCGGTAGCCCATGGTCAGTATCATAACTCTTTGACAGTACCGGGAATCCTTTGATAGTACCGGTATTCCCTTGACAGTATCGGAAACCCCTTGACAGTACCGGTATTTCCTTGATAGTGCCGTGTACCCCTTGACAGTACCGTGAACCCCTTGACAGTACCGGAAGACTTAGACTAACGCTGGCATGCGGTGTGGCAGAAGACATTTAGTACGTGAGGGGAAGACTGTAGTGGTGAGGGGGGGGGGGTAACGGCAGTCACATTCTTAAGGGAAGAGAGAGAGAGAGAGAGAGAGAGAGAGAGAGAGGTAATTACAAAAACTTATCACACAAACCTCTCACACTTACCATACAAACCTCTTACACTTATGACACAAACTCACGCACTTAAACCCTCACACTTATGACACAAACTCTCACACTTAAACCCTCACACTAAAAACAGGTTGTCACGCTCACCTGAGAGAGAGACGCGGGCACTCCTATACACTAGCGCCTCCTCGGACACACTGTAAAATAACACATGACGCGGTGAGCATTATTACTGGGTGAGGCGGGGGTGGGGGTGAGCGGCGGGGGATGAGGGAGAGTGAGGAATTTCAGGTAGGGAGGACGATATGAACGAGCTGGGAAGAGAAGTTCGAGGAGGGACAATGAGAAGACAGACAGACAGACAGAGGAAATGAGAAAAAGTATTTATTTGTTTTAGGAATATCACCACATACAATGGGCACACACACACACACTACTACTACTACTAATACTACTACTACTACTACTACTACTACTACTTTTTTTTTTTTTTTTTAAAAACGTGGCCTCCAGCCTCCCCCAATAGCCACACCTTCGCCACCATTTATTTACCTTAATATTAAATATCCTAATACATAAGAAGCTATCCTATCTGTGTTAGATTAGTTGAGCCGCAGGTCCATGCGGCATTCAGTGACTGTAGCCTCATAGTCAATATCTGCAGCAGTTGTCGGAGTAGGGGCAGAAGCTCTCGTTCCCCTGAGGCAGAGCAAAGCCGACCGAAGGAGAGAGAAGGACAGTCGACATCTCATCCAGGCTGTGACATAACTTCTGGGCTGCTGCTTCTGTTCGGAGATCAGCTCCGCGAGTCTGGCGTAGAAACATCTTGCTACTACTACTACTACTACTACTACTACTACTACTACTAATACTACTACTACTACTTTGCTCTCACTCGGAATCGAGTATGACGATTATCCAGCTATGATACAATGATATGAGTTATTAAGGATGTCACCTTCGTTGGTGAGCTCTGAGGTGACTAAAGAGGCCGATACAGGACCGGCAGGGCCGTCCACAGATGTTGCACATGTGGAGGGCTGCATCTAGTACGGGAGGGGCGGTGGCAGCGTCTTTCCGGCGTTGGCTCTTGTCTGCCTCGATTTGCAGTTGGGCTAACTCGAAAGTATTGATACCTTCTTGTGTGGTGCTCCTCCAAACGTTAAGTGTGAAGTAATCGTGTCCCAGGTGAGGGGATCGATTTGTCACTTTTCCAGATTTGTCATAAGTCTATCATTATACCTTATCAGTTGTCCGCCAGCATTACGTTTACTGTTCATTAGATGGCTGTAAAGTAGCTGCTTTGGCAGCCTACTGCCGTCCATGCGGGTAACATGGCCAGTGCAACGTAGTTGTTCATGGATAATGGTAGCCTAAATGCTCCTACAGTTGGTATCAGGGGAATACAGGCATTTGTTCTCTTGTCTTCCCAGCGAATTCGGAAGATGGAATGTAGACTACATTGGTGAAAGTTTTCAAGTGCCTTGAGGTGCCTCCTATATGTGACCCATGTCTCACTGCCAAATAGCAGGGTGGGGAGGACCACTGCTCGATATACGTGCAACTTTGCAGTTCATTTTAGCTCCCTACAGCTGAAGACACAGGTAAAGAGTCTGCCAAAGTCTTGAGATGCACATCTGATCCGATGTTGAATCTCTTCATTGATGTCCGCGGTGGTAGATAGGTGGGAGCCAAGATACTAAAAGTGGGTAATTTTAGAGAGGGTTGTACCGTTAAGCTGGATGCATACGCATCGGCATAGGTGTTCAGGATCTCCTGGAGGTCACGTTCAGTGTGAGCGGCAAGGGTGAGGTCATCTTTATACTGAGGTTCAGTAATGGAAGCTGCCTGCTCCCAAATATTCTCCAGGAGAGAGTGCAGACGGCTGGTAAGCAGTGGTTCTCCTACTTTATACACCTTGGCTGGGATTCCAACCCGCCCTGAGGCTTTCTTATTTTTCATCTGTTTGATGGCAGTAGCTACCTAATCCAGGGATGGAGGATAGCTGAGATGGGTCAGCTCTGGATGCTGAAGGATCTGCTGGGAAGTCAGGACATCTACATCGGCGGTTGAACAGTGAATGGTACTGCTCTTACCAGCACTGACAGATGCCGTCTTTTTCTTTAATTAGGGAGTTACTGTCAGTTGAGCAGAATGGGGCTGAGCCATGGGTAGTTGGGTGTGAGGGAAACTGGTGATGGTGTGGTTTAGGTAATTTGCTAAGGGCTATTCAAAGTGTTGGGTTAATCATTCACAGGGATTCTTTTCATTTGGAGCGCTAATGAACCTTGTACAGATTCGAGAATGTCGGTATCTTGGTGATTCATTCAAAGTGTTCGTGGTGTTATGAACTCGGAACAGAGCCAGCGTGCATCGGTAAGAGAACCCTCCACTTACATTATTGATTTGTAAGTTATGTTCTTTTGTGATTCATTTCTGCTATGGTAATTGTTGTTATGTTTCTATCATTATTTAATGTTCAATATGTCAGATGTTGTTAGTAATTAATGTTTGGTACTGGGTTTATTACTTTATGATTTTGCCGGAATATTATGGCTATATTAATACGTTGTTTAGGGGGACTCTACCCACGTCAAGGGCCGGGTGTGAGAGGCGTCCTCATCAGTGTTCGTCATTCCTTATCATCCAAGGGGACTACATGTATGACCTGACCTGTCCAGTCGTGGGGACTTGTGGAGGCCAGCAGACCAGAGTTTACCGTATCCCAGTTTAGGGGCGACGTCGGTCTACTAACTCCATCCCTCGAGTATGCTACTCGGGGAACGCTAGTTTCACAATACTCCTGTCGACCTCTTGCCTCCCTATATCACTTCTGACAACTCGTTGGTGGAGCTGTTATGTGTTCCACCTGATGTTCGGTGTCAACGAATGTTGATATTCCCCTGGTTAATTTGTTAAATTTACTTGTGTGTGTGTAAGTGGTAATATTGTAATTGTATTTTTATTTAAATGGACAATTTTCCTTTAGCACCCCAGAACCGATTGGTATGACAGTCTACCATCAAAGATCCTATATGGCCTTGACATTGGGCCATACATTGTTTTAGTGGAACTGAAAATTTCATGCATCTTGTGTTAATCAGCGAATTTTTGTGTTTTATGTGCTTTATTTTCTACCATTCGTTCTTTAGATTGTGAAGTTCGTGCTGGGCCATCTCTTTCTTCTGGAGGAAGGTATCAGCTTTGGTCCGAGACTGAGGGTTGTTCTGCCAGTCAGTGAAAGCAGCACCTTTACCATTGATGAGTACATTGATTTCCTGGTTATTTTCATAAAGCCACTCCTGGTGTATTCTTTCGATCTGGCCGAAGGTCTTGCTACAAGTTTTTGTGATAACAGCGTCGAGGATACCCCATTCGGCACTCGGATTTAGGTTATTTGTTGTTGGGTTTATCAGCCCATTGCCAAGTTACTCCCTACAAGCATATTCAACCACTTGATCCTCCAGTCGCTTGGTGTTAAAACCTCTTTTCGAGGCTTGTTGCCTTCACTATTTTGGAGCACCGTGAAGGAAAAGTTTGGCTTTGACAAGCAGATGATCTGTGTCACAGTGATCTGTGCCATGCATGGCTTGGGTGATAAGGACGTCTTGGCGATCTCTTTCCCTGACAATATTGTAGTCAATGAGATGCTAGTGTTTGGATCGTGGGTGTTGCTAACAAGCCTTGAAACTTGTCGGCCTGCCTAAACAAAGTGTTGGTGATTGTGAGGTTGTATTTAGCACACTTGCTGAGGAGGAGTAGGTCGTTGAGCAGGAGCGTTCCGGCATAAAACCGTGTTGGCAATCCTTTACAAGGTTGTTTCGTAGTAGATGTTCCATTGCGGCATCTCTGATAATACTCTCAAGTAATTTACATATTATGCTGGTCAGGCTCACCGGTCTATAGCTGTTCGTGGAGTGACGATCGCCTTGCTTGAAGATAGGACTCACATAAGCCACTTTCCATTCGCTGGGGAACTTTTGTTCATCCATGCATTTACAAAACAGGTCCTTCAGGGGCTCTGCAAGCTCGTTGCACAACTCTCTTAGCACTCTAGGATGCACCATGTCAGGATCGGGACTCTTATGGACCTTTAGCCTGGACAGTTTATTTCTAATACCCTCTTCTGTGAACACAATGTGGGTCAGTGCTATGTCGAACCGCCTGTCCTCAAACGCAGGAAGGTTAATTGTATCCTCTCTTGTGAATGCCGAGGAAAAGAAGCTCTTCAATGCCTCAGTTTTATCCTGGTCAGAATCTGCATAATTACCATCTTCAAGCCTCAGGTCTGATACTCCTACCGCGTTTTTAATTTCGACTTTGCGTAGCAGTAAAACGCCTTTGGGTTTGACCTGACCTCGCTTGCAACCAACCTCTGGAACTCCTTTTCATCCCTTCTACAATTTATCTTTGCTTGGTTTCTGGCTCTTACATACATCCTCCTGTCCTGCTCATCGTTTGACCCAACCCAGGTCTTGAATTTCTGGGTTTTCTTCTTAACTCTGTCGACCGCTGCGTGGTTCATGTGTAGGGATCCCCTCGTATTCCTAGAGGCACTGGGTTTGGTCTTGAGTATATATTTATCGATCAAATGGGTCACTTTACTAGTTATGATATTCAGCATAGTGTCTGCGTTCTTGTGCCTTAATGAGTCAGGCCAGTGGATACCCCTCATCTCTTCCCTGATCCCGTTGTAATTTTCCTTGAAATATTTGCACCTTGGCCTGGCCTTATCCTGAACTAGGTAACAGTTAAATCTGAATGACAACACTACATGGTGACTGGGACTATATGTTCCAGTTTGGCCACCATACTTTCTTCGTTTGTTATGATGAGGTCAAGTGGCTTGGGTGTTTGCTCCCCTCTGTAATGTGTCGGGTCTCTAACATGTTGGAACAGAAAATAATCTCTCAGAGTTTCTACAAAAAAGTAGCAGGATTATTAAAGTCATTTGGGGTGAACTCGTTTCTCCAGTCGATGTCGCCATAGTTAAAGTCCCCATGATAAGGAGGTGGCTAGGGTTGAGCATCGCCGTGTTGTCTATTAAAGCTCTAAGTTCCTTTGATTTAGTGGGCCAGTTTGGGGATCTGTAGATACACCCAACAATAAGTAAGTACCTTCCCTTTAATTTAATTTTACACCACTTGGACTCTTCAAAAACATCCTCTCCCTGTACACTCGCCTGGCTGGCTCTAAGGTCTTGCCTAGCATTGATAACCACACCCCTTTTGCAAGTTTCTTGAGTAAGGTTCGTAAATGAGTCATATCCAGCAATACTGAACTCACATTCCTCCGTTACGCACTGTTGGCAAGTACTGGGCATGCACCTGCTCCTGAATGTAGCGGAACCTGCTCACACTCGGTGCCGTCAGAACAGTTTCTGGTAGATTGTTCTAAGAGTTCACAACTCTCACTCCGAAAAAGTTTGCCCTCACAGTTTTTTGGACCTGCGGCTTCTTCAATCTAGAGCTGTGACCCCTTGTGGGCCGAGCGTCCGCCAGCTCCAAGTAAGGACACTCGACTGAGTAGTTCCCCTTGAGATGCTTATACACCTCAATTAGGTCGTCCCTTGTCCGTCTGTAATATAAGCTAGGCAAGTTCAGACGTAATATGTATTAAAAAGATATTCAGGATGACAATGAAGTGCGCAGACAATACTGCCTCACACTCCTGTACACACCCAGTTGTAAATAGGTTACCCTCTATGTATAGAACTAAACAGAATTTATTTGAAATACTCTGTAACATTCAATGCCATAATAACCTGACCACGGGAGTTAGTTATACAGACCCTTTGTGAACTCTACTTTGTAAGCTTTTTGCGCACACGCTCACAGGATGAGTATTGAGTGCACAATAAACTAGCCGCTGAAATTGGCAAAATTAAAACAATTAAAATGCTTGGTCGTGGTGATCAACTAAAGAATATCCAACCCGAGCACACCCACCTGAAGAATTAATATCTTAGAGTGACCTGAGGGGGGGGGGGGGGTTACTTCATAATTATGATCTTTACAGTCTGAAATGTTTAAAAGCATTTGCCTGCCTCGAAACCATTTGCACAGCTAGTGAAATCTTTTTGTGTGATTGTTCCCTTTCCATTATCTTTGATTTTTATTTAGCATTTCACCACTTATCAGCTTGCTAACTGCTTGGTCTGTTCAGTGTTCTCACAGGAGGAAACCAGAGTACTGAACCCAGAAGAAACCTAAAACCACATATGGAGCAATGCTAATTTAACTTAAAATATGGTAAGGCCTGAATCATGTAAAGGCTGGGTACCCATTTAATGTTTCTTTCATACCTGGCGGGCTGCAGGACGTGTGTGTCAGCGCAGGTGTCAACACTGGTCAGCTGGCAGGAGTTTACCAGTGAATTTCTTGTGTATTTTGGTAAATGTATCATAGATCACCTCACTGCCAGATAATTGTCACCATATCTGTATATGGTACAATCTGTGTAACAATGTTCGTATTGTAGTAAGTATAATGCCGTTATTATATTAAAGACACCTAAAGTTAGATATGCTTTTGGCAAATGATTTAAACTATAAACCATATAGCTTAGTTTAATCAGTGTGGGGCCAGGTGCAGTACACTAAGTTACACACACTGTATTACTGTAATGATTTGGAGGAGTGTTATAAAGGGTCGATATATGACGCTGAGGATCTAAGACAAAGCTGGGTTTAGTGTAAGGTGGGTTGACTAGGGTCTTGAAATACTATAGTACTGTATGCCCTCAGTTATGCACCATTTGACTATACTGTACAGTATATTTAACACCTGGCATACAAATTCCTACTCTACCTCTATTACTAATAAATAGTAAATTTTTACTTTAGGACATGAGTCCCTTGGGGTTGAGCAATATGTTTTTCCAGTGTATTTTGGTGTGTTTTAAACTAATCTGACCTTCATTTTGGGCGGGAATTGCTAGTTTTTGCCCCGTCCTCCCCTCCAACAATGATGGGGGAAAGCCTGGGAAATCGGGGTTTTTGGGTGGGGGAGAAAACGAGTCATCTGACCTAACAAAACCTAACCTAAGTCCTAGCCGGGGGCTCTGCCCCCGGACACCCAGTAGGCCTAATCTGATCCATAGCCGGGGCTCCGTCCCCGGACCCCCGGTAGGCCTAGCTTAAACTTAGGTAAAGGTATTATTGCGTTTACACACCGTTCATTCCTACCACTAATCTATTATCATATTCGAGTAAGACGTCTAATTATAAGATAATTTTCATTTATTACATTACCGGCGGAATTGTATAATAACGGAGATAGCTTTTCCAAAATTTTTTATATTTTCTTCCATTAACCTCCCGCCATTATCGTCTGTCTCTCACCCAACACTGCATGTCTCTCGCTCTCCTTCATAAATCATGACGCGCATGCGTACCCGTACACGTCACGCGGCCAATCAAAAGCGTTTTTGCTAATTCAGAGTATATTTGGCCTAATCAAAATCGAGTTTTATTTTGGGTCTCATATTTTGAAATTCAAGTTCAGTTCCGACCATGGAAGTCTGCGATGGATGTCACTTAAAGTATATGGAGCTGATTGCGAGTTTTTGGGAAAAAAAACGTAGAAACTATAGCATTTTTTCGATCGCATGGTGTTCTTCCAACCTCAGTAAAGTGTACTTAGAGCAAGACGTAATGTAAATATCGCAAAGACCAACATATGTGGCGTTGGGTAAGAATCCCAGAATGCAACGATGAACAAGAACCAGGCCAATAAGGTAAGAAATAGGTGATTCCATCATATGGTGAGAGTCAGTTAAGTTAGATTAGGTTAGGTTTTGTTTTTTCTAGTGTTTTTTGGTGTATTTTTTAGTTGCTTAGCCACTTTTTTTTGGGAAAACGTCAAACGAAAAAAATCGCAAAAAAAAAAGCGGCTAATTTCCGCCAAAAATGAAGGTCATATTCGGTCTAAACACACACAAATACACTAGAAAAATATATTTTTTACTTGCTAAAAGTGAACGGTGTGACAATGAAAATTTACCAAGGTAAATTTGCACTAGTTCACACAACTCTGTTAGAAAGTCAAAACTATATTTTTCTAGTGTATTTTTGTGTTTTGATTGGTTTTGACCTTGATATCCGTCAGAAATTGCCAGGTTTTTAGTTATTGGGGTTTTTTGGTGGAGTGTTTTCTGACAAAAATTATGGCAAACCGAATACAAAATACAAAAAAAAACACTAGAAAAACATAAACCTGACCTTTTTTTTTTTTTACGTGAATTATCCCACCTGGGCACAGGTCAAACGACCCACAACGGGGCCTGGGGGACGAAAAAATAAAAACAGAAAGAAATTGAAAATAGAGAAGAAAAAGGTTATACTGTGTTAATCTGACCTAACATAACCTATACGGAGGGCATGGGCGGGTAGATTGCACTTAGGACACTTTACTGAGATCGGGAGAACACCATGAGATCTAAAAAATTATATAGCTTGTTCGTTTTTTTTTTTTTTTAAACGCGCAATTAACTCCATATAATTGAAGTGACATCCATCGCAGACTTCCATGGTTGGAAATGAATTAGAATTTCGAAGCATGAGAGACTCAAAATAAAAATCGAATCTGATTGGGCCAAAAATACTGCGAATTAAACCACAAATCATTTCAATTGATGGGGAAAAAAATGCTTTTGATTAGCCGTGTGATGTGTACGGGAACGCATGAGCGTGACGATTTATGAAGGAGACACGCAGTGTGGGAGGTGAGGTAGGCGATAATGGCGGAAGATTAATGGAAGAAAATAGAGAAAGATTTGGGTTGCGCTATCTCCGTTATTATATGTTTGCGACGGTAATGTAATAGAAGTAAATTATCTTATGCTGTAATTAGACGTCTTTTTGGATTATGATAATAGATTTGGGGTAGGAACGTTGTGTGCACAAATGCAAAAATACCTAAACTAACCTAAATGTTTCACTAGTTAAAAACTTTGGGGCACGCCATGTCCGAAAGTACAATACCTTAGTTAGAAGTGGAAGGACCAGGGATACGTAAGAATTGGATAGAATGATCGTCTGTCTCGTAAAACTCGGCAATAAACTTAAAATAGACGTAGGAGCACAAATGACAACCAACCTCCATCACAGCCATTGTGAAACTGATCTATGAAATTGAAATCGTACCCAGGCTGCTTCCTTTGAAAAAATCAAATGTGATTGGTCGAAAAAAAATTGCGTGATGATATTGATACCTCATTGGTCACGACAGAATGACGTCAGTCAACATTGCGCATGTGTGATGAAAAGATAACATCTCCTCACAGACGAAGAATGAAAACTACTTAAATTCAATTGAATTAAATTGTGTCGCTATTATTCATTTCCGCCATGTAGGTATGGGTTCAAAATGCTCAGAATAGCGAGATCTAAACGTTTCAGTAGTTATAACTTTCAAGGCGCTATTTCCAAAAGTAAAGTAATACTTAATAAATATATAAGTAAATGGATAGATAAATGTCACAGGTCAGCCAAGGACATTATTTTAAGCTACTCTGCTGTTAGTTTCTGCTTTGGAATTGTGAGATTAGATTAAGATGGAATGCACTTTTGAAACCACTTGATTAAAAAAAAGTCATTTTAGGATAGTAGCCAGGTTTTGGTTAGGTTAGGTTAGGGCAGTAAGCACCAGAAACAAAGGTCAAAGTCGTTTGAATCACAACAAGAACCATAGGAAAAACTTAAATTTTATAAGAAAATCAAAACCTGGCTACAGTCATAAATTGACTTTTTTTTTAATCAAGTGGTTTCAAGGAAAGTTGTGGTCACCTTGGTTTGTTCCCGTTTTCTATGGGAAGAAGATATTAATTAATTCATAGTAGTACAGTGTATGAAAATTTAGTAGTATCTTATTAACAATAGGCTGGGTGGGTATTATTTTACTTTAAGACATAACACGCCCGAAAGTTATAAACTACTGAAACATTTAGATCTCGTTGTTCTGAGCGTTTTGAACCCCATATATACATGGTTGAAATGGATAATAGCGACACAATTGAATTTAATTGATTTTATGTAGTTTTCAGTCCGTCTCTGTTAGGAGTTGTTATTGGCGCATCACACATGCGCAATATTGACTGACGTCATCCAGTCGTGACCAATGATGTAGCGATATCATCACACAAATTTTTTTAAACCAATCACATATTATTTTTTTTTTTCAAAGGAAACAGCCTGGGTAATTTCATTGTCCGGGGTGGGGGAGCTCCCGGCTTGGTGTTAGGTTAGGTTAGGTTTTGTTAGGTTAGAAGACTCATTTTTGTTTTCTCCCCCACCCAAAAATCCCCATTTCCCAGGCTCTCCCCCATTATTGTTGGGGGGAGGGATAAGAACTAGCAATTTCCACCCAAAATGATGGTCAGATTTGTTTAAAACACACCAAAATACACTGGAAAAACATATTGGTCAACGCCTCGGGACTCATGCCCTAAAGGAAAAAATTTCCTCTGGGTGGTTAATGTTGACGACTGACTCGCCGACGAGTTATTTATTTCGGTGTTTATTTTTTTACTTTATTTTCATCAGTGAGTTCTGCTGTGATAATCATCTCTGGTACAAATGCTTCATTTGAGAGATATTTAGGCACCTAATGTGCTCACTATTTTGTCTTCTCAGCTGTAATGCGGCGGTTTTATGTTCAGGGGTAGAAATTAACATATGCCCGGCCGCCCGAGGCAACCAAAATATCAGAAGGGCGAGTAGATCTTAAAAATTTACTGGTTTTTATTCGTCCATCAAGCGACCAGCATGTCAGACTCACAGTATCTAGAAGCTATCCAATAGTTTTGAGCAAAAATTTATATTTTTGACAGTTTGCTTTACCATAAGGAAGTGCTTAGTGCCCAGTTTATAAAAAGCATTGTAAGAGTAAATGTTTGTTGTACACATGAACCTCTGTACTTGGTCGTTGATGCTCCAAGGAGTCAGCGATTTTCAGTGCAACTAATACCTCTGTACAGTATTGATGTAATGTCTAACTAACACAGACATTATTATTAATCGTGATGAGTCACCAAAGGGGATTGTTTGATATGTGGAAGAATGTTAATCCACCACCAGCAAAAAACAAAAAAGCAAAGAAGAAAAGTTAGAGCAGCAGTGTCAATATGATCAATCAACAGTACAGTACATTAGATTCATGTTATGGTGACACTTGGAGGAAGAAGCAGGGCCTGATTCAGGAGTGAGCAAAGTGGGCAGCTGCCCAGGGGCCTCCACAATCTGTGGGCCTCCACATATTACATCTGACCTTGGACTTAAAGAAACCTGTACATGCATTCTTGGACAGAACCATTATTTGAGTAGAGGTTTATCTGAGTAATAATGCAAAGAATCATCTCTCTGTAATAACTAATAATATATTCTTTTCTGTGAAGTCTCTTGAAAATTTTTGACATGTGCGGTAGTAGCTATATCAGGGCTGGTCGACTTGAAACCACATGAATGACTCCAGTCATGTCTCACTTTTGTGTGTGTGTGTGTGTTGGGAATTTGTACACTATCAATAAATATACAGTGAATTAAAAATTTCTCAATGTTCTAATTTCCTCAATATAACTGCGTATGGCTTCAAAATTCTCCAAAGAAGTGTTCAAATTTCAAAAATTTCCCGTGGGGCTTACAGCGCGCACCGGAACTCCCAGATGTTTAGGCTCGCTTCACTCGCCACCCCACCCTCTTGGGTAGTTATGAGGGGGGACCTCCACAAAGAGGCTGCCCATGGGCCTCCACAGGTCTAAATCTGGCACTGGGAAGAAGTTTGATGGTATTGGTGCAGATGGGGCCAGTGTTATGACAGGTTGCAAAAATGACTTGGTAGCTCGGCTGAGAAGAGATTTAGAGCGGCCAGAGTTGGAAGGTATTCACTGTACCAAACAAGGAGGTACTACCGCCTGGGAAGATATTGTAAGCATAATGTGTTGTCTAATGGTAGACCCTGCTGCCATATGGCATCACAAAAATTGTGACCAAGTTCCAGGTTGCTGATATGACTTTCTGCCTCATTTACACACAATTGCAGGGTCTCAATTGGTTCTCTTACTTTGACAACACAACATACATATACAGTATCATTTCTCACTATTGATTATTTTGTTTTGTTTTTTATTTATGGATTTTTATTATTATTACCCTGTATTATTATTATTTTTGTATTGTAATTGTTATATATTTTTATACATTTTTATTAATTTATTATAATTATTATATTATTATTATTATCATTATTATTATTATTATTATTATTATTATTATTATTATTTTTATTTTATTTTATTTTATTTTATTTTATTTTCGCTCCCCAGGACTTGATGTGGGTCATTAAAAATGACCTGTGTCCGGGTGGGCTAATGTCTGTAAAAAAAAAGGGGGAGGGGGGCATGCCTGAGTAACTCACTAAGTCAGAAATAATGAAAAAACACTAAGTCAGTGACACAAAGTAAGCATAAACAAGAACAAAGTTGACGAGAATGAGTCAGAGGCAGTGTGCAGAGCCTTCTGGTGGCAAGAATTTGCACCACGTCAATCGTCGGATCTACGAGGTATCAGCGAAACTTGCTGCTTATTTCCCCTATATGTAATCGTCGGTTATGCAAATCAGTGGTTATTGGGATTTGCCTGTATCTCAATTTTTGCTTGTGTTTCATAGTGATTAAGCTCATACTGTGCACAAAAACAAAGATCTATGAAATTAATAAAACATATGTACTGTACTGTACTTTGAAATACTGTCTCTCCTTGATTTACGACGGGGTTCTGGACCGACGACCAGGTTGTAAGTCGAATTGGTCGTAAGTCGAAAATGCGAAAATAATACATAGAAAACCTAAAATGGGTGTCTCTTTTTCTTCTCAGCACCACGAAAACTCTCACTTTTATGCTTGCCAGCCACTTTAAAGGGAATTAAAAAAAAAATTGTCAGTACACCGTGCGATCGCTAACGTCGGGACTCGAAAATAGGTAATTTTAAAAATATTTTATACGACCACGACGGTCGTATGTCCGGGTGGTCGTAAGTCGAGGAGTATCTGTAATTGTCTGTAAGGCAATACATGTGTTTTGTGTGTTTTATCCTCTTCGCCACTGATTGGGTTGCGAGCCGCTTGGGTGGTCGGTCACGTCTCTGTTGCACACTGTTAGCAAGTAGTGGGCATGTACTGGCTCCAGAATGTATCTCTACTTGTCTCAGTGTTGGTTAAGTCTGGTCTTGAACAATCTCACTCTTGGTGCCGTCACAACACTGGCAGATTGTTCCAAGAGTTTACAACTTGCCCTCACAATTTTCTGGACTTGTGGCTTTCTCAACCTTGAGCTGGGACCCCTAGTTTATTTATGAATGCCTTTACAGTATTTACTTACAACTTCTCACACATTAACAGTTCAGTACCTTCATGCACTAACTACTGTCCTCTATCATGGCTGAATTATAATGAGTAGCTGGGTGTATAGAGAACATGTGTGACAATGTGGGAGTCTTACAAAGGGATGGTAATGACTCACACAGGACTTGATAATTGAAATGCAACATGAAGATAATACAATTACTAAATACCATAGTACAGTACTTAAGATTAAAGCACTACAATGTTTAACACTGTAAATTGCTTTGTTTTCCCCAAAGTATTGTGAACCACAACTGGCAACAGGCACTTCAGACCAGCCATATGTAGTACAGTATCCATAAATTGATTTTATAAGCAGCTTTAATTTAACCCAAATAAATCTAATTTAGATATGAGTTATGGATCATTGTGATGTCAGATGCAGTTATAGCAGGGGTCTTTATGTTGTTTTCACTGTCTGTAGTTGTAATTTCTGTATGGTTTGTTGAATGGATGAAAAACTATTATACAGTACTGTATTCAATTAAAGTGTTCCTGTGTATAACCTTCCCATTGTTTTGTATGAAGTAGACTTTTGAACCTAGATGTTGTGTCAGTGCTCACAGCAAATTTTGATCAAGATATCTTAGAAATAATAAATGCAGTGTTCTGTGATTGTAACCAAGGCTGTATTCAGATGTTTATATATAACCAGGAAATTTAACAATATATTATCTATGCAGGGGTTGATGTAAAGGCGGCATCTTTACAGCCATTGACAAGAGTGCCATGTTCGCTCGTCTTTCAAATATGTTTGGTGCAAATGACGATGAAGACCAGGGTCATGGTTCCCCATCTCGAAAATCTAGCTCCCGAAATGGCAGTCAAGGAAGTGGAACACCAGTTCACACCCCAAATGTTGCTCAGTGTCAGGTAAGTTTGATTTAACTGTATCCTAAGGGGAGGTATGCAGTGCTGTACAAAGGAAGGCCATTTCAGAATCTATGAATACTGTTCCTCTTACATAACCTTTTTCTATTTATAGCACAGCAAACCCTTGCTATTCATAGTGGTTAGGTTCCAAGGACTGGCGCGAATTGGCAAAGCCGTGAATAGCAACTTATACTATCTTAGTGCACTACTGTATACCTGTACTTTGTATGAGAAACTTGTCACCAATACAGTACTACTCTCCTTTGTATGAGGAAGTTTGGAGCTTGATGAAGTGTACTGTACAGTAGGATAAAGTCTTGTTATTGAAGCATAAGAAGATCATCAGGATCACTGTTGGCAGACGGTGATACAATGGTGGTTGGTGGAGAGGTGCGTGGTGGAGTAGCGGCAGCAGCTGACCGAGTAGGTGAGGGAAATGAATCAGCTGGGTGAGTGGCTGGTTCTTTCTTGAAAAACAGTGTGATTGGTAGTTGTTTCCTCTTGGCTTTGTGGCCTCTAAATGTTTTACTCCACTAGCATCACTAGCACTGACACGGCAGTTTTTTAGGGGCCATTTCACACAGAAACATTAAAGTTTTCAGTACAACACAAGAGATGCTGTGTTGCAGGTAATGGTTGAGTGCAAACTAAGGGAGAGGAGTGTGAGGAGATGCTGTGGGTGTGTGGGGGTGACTTGTTGCACTATGGGCAGGCTCATAACCTAGCCACCATCTGGTTACCGCGAATAGTCGAAATTTTGAAATATATTTTACATATAGACAATACAGTGACCCCTCCGTTAACGAACTCAATCCGTTCCAGAAGGTCGTTCGTTAACTGAAAAGTTCGTTAACCGAAACCATTGTTTCAATGGGTTTTTGGGTAATTGGTTCCAGCTCACCGAAAATTTCCTAAATTCAACAAAAATGGTAGAAAAGTTCACTTACTTTGAGGTGTATATGTAGAAGGCTCCTGGATGATGATGATGATGATGATGGGATTTAAAATGGGGGTGGAGGAGAAGGAAGAAGAGAAGGCATTGGGGTGGAAGAGAAGTCACCCCATGACGCCATTTCACTCATAAAATTTTAGCTCTCTTGGTGAAATTCAAGATTATTTTCTTTAAATCAACACTGCACTGCACTGCATTATATATTGTCAATATGTAAAGTATATTTCAAAATGACAAATAATTTGCTTGGAAACGCAGAAAAAAAGCATTTAGTTGAAGAGAGTCTCAAGCAAGATGTTACCTCCAGTGAAAACAGAGAGAGACTAACTCCTGTTTGCTGTGTTAAGAGGCTGGATGCCGCGCATTAAACTAGTCACTTTACCTTCAATTATGTTCAATAATTGTTAAAATGACTAAAAAATTGAATATTAAACTTTTAAAATTATTGAATAGTATAAACTTCTTGATATTTACTAAAATAGGAAGGAATTTAAGCCCTAGAACCGATTAATGTATTGGCGGACTGATACTAAAGCTGGTTGCCCGGTCAGTGCAAGCGAAAACATGTTGAGGTCGGTTCGTAAGAACTTCGTTAACCGAATTTTTTTTCGTTAACCGAATTGAAGATCCTTATGGAAGGCAGTTCATTAATCGAAATTACGTTAACCGAGGTGTTCGTTAAACGAGGGGTCACTGTATATAATGCAGTGCAGTGTTGATTTAAAGAAAATAATCTTGAATTACACCAAGAGAGCTAAAATTTTATGGGTGAAATGGCACCATGGGGTGACTTCTTCCACCCCAATGCCTTCTCTTCTCCCTTCTCCTCCACCCCCATTCTAATTCCCATCATCATCATCCAGGAGCCTTCTACATACACACCTCAAAGTAAGTGTACTTTACTACCTTTTTTGTTGATTTTAGGCAATTTTCGGTAAGCTGGAACCAATCACCCAAAAACCCATTGAAACAATGGTTTCGGTTAACGAGTTTTCGGTTAACCAGCAACCTTCTGGAAAGAATTGTGCTCGTTAACCGAGGGACCACTGTATTGGGTGCTGTTAAATCAAGGGTATACTGTACATAATCAAGGGTATACTGTACATTGTACATAAGAATATTGCTTACACTGTAACATTGCTAAAGCATTTATCCACACATCTGGATGAATAATTATACAATGAGAATAATAATATCAATACAAAATCATTTGAAGAAAGAAGACTGGCAACATGTGGGCTGTACAGTGGTAGCTTTACCAACTCATATCACTATATTTCTGACATAAAGGTCAACATTTCTTTAGATTTCTTCATAAATGTGTATAAAAGCTGAGGTAAAATTCTTGCCATATCATTTCCAGTACTGTAAAGCATTTATCTAATTTCTACAACATTTCTTGAGGATATCAAAATTTCCTTCAAATGAATTTTTTTCTGACATTGCAAAACTGATGGTTGCAGTAGTGAGTGCACACTGCCAGGGGAGCTGCCAGTTGTATGAAAGTGACAAAGTGCATATTTAGCCAACAAAATGCAACTTTAACATAAAAAGTTTTTTCACCACATGTTCATTTGCATTTTCATGTATGAAGTCTCCAAGAAGATAAATTCTTCCATTGGCATTTATGCATATGAAGACCCTGAGAATGTTAAGAGATACCTGATGTGATTGGTTGAAGACCAGTTATGCAACAATTATATGACAGTATTCATAAGAAATGCCGTATCTTGCCAGTGACAGTCATGCCGTATGACAACTGGTGAGCTCTGGCATGGGGTATTCAATGTACTGGGAAGGGAACTAATAGGTCACTTACTGAAGTGCCGTTGGTTGTAAAAGCCGTTTTTTTCTAAAAGCCAGTTTTTGTGATATAGTCCAGAATGCGACGCCTAGCTTATACCTAGGTATGTTGGTGCCTAGCAATAACTCGCCAGGCCAACATACAGGCAATTAAAACATCTAATAATTTCTTAATAAGTAATATTAGGAGGACACGTCGCTACTTGGCATTTAATTGCAATCCTCAAAACCCCCTCTCGCATCCTCCATCACACGCACTGCCACCGTCATCTTCTTGCCTGGCGAATCAGCTGTAAATACGCACAAAGAAGGCTCCGCTAATTTGTGTTGTAATAGCTGAAATACTAAGCGCTTTATTTCAGTGACTTATTCTGATATACAGATAAAGGATTATATGTTTTGTACTAGAATTTTGGATGGATATAATGCCATATAGTTGAGTTGTCAAATCTTGCATCATACCTTGTCATTTTTACCTAAACTTTTTGGAAATTTAATTGGAAGCCGGTTGTTCTCGTCTGTGGTACTTCATGTGTGAGCTACGTGGTAATATGTAGCGCACCTCCCACCTGTAGTTTGAATTTCTTTTTGGGTTGTGATGGTCCTCAAGACTAGCTACTACTACTGCCATGATATTCCTTAGTACAACACTGCAGTATAGTTTATTTAACCCTTAGGCCCTGGGTGACGTTCCAGAACGTCCGCCTATTCCCGCCACTTTAATTATTTTTGGAAAAGTTGATTTTTTCTCGATTTATCCCCGCTGGGGGGGGGGGGGTACTGCCATGTGAAGATTAGCCCCCCATCTTATTTGACCTTAAAATTAACTACCTTAATGTTCAGTTAACCTAACCTCTAGGTAGCATTAGGGTGTTTAATCATCAGGTGAAATAAGTTTGGGTTGGCTGATCTTTAGGTAATGTCTTGTATGGTGGTCAATTTACATGTACACTACAGTATCTTTAGTTGTAAATGGGAGAAGACAAATAAATTGGAACAGAATTAAATCTAAGTGTTCATTTTAACAGACTAGCAAAACCTTATACATGAGTATATATATTTTACTTTCTTTTTCGTTATAGATTGATAACTCGGGAAGTGTTCTAGAAAAAATAGCAGGTCTCTATGCTGAGCGACTGATGAGTGATATTGTATTGGTGGTAGGACAGCGTGAGTTCCCGGCCCACCGTCTTATTCTGTGTGCTTCATCTGATGTCTTCCAGGTACAGTAGATTGATAGTGTCACGGTCTTTTTCTTGCAGGTACAGTACAGGTAGATACAAATATCTTTTGTATCTGCCTGTAAATACAGTATACTTGCAACTTACGCATGTTTTTCTTATGCAGTTTCAACTATACGTGGATTGCCCCGGGGGTTAGGTTGCAAATTCAAATTTAAGCTAGGAGAATATAACCTGTATTGCTGGAGTCCCTGCAAGACAGCGAATAATTTGAATATAGACATCATATATTTTGCACAAGATATAAAAATTTTAGTCCATTAGTGTAGTATATTTTAGTACAAGTTTTTTTACTCGTATTTTTGGGTAGATATACGTAACTGTCTTCATTTATTTTTACTCATTTACATGCACACACCATCCTAAATACATATTGTGAAAAAGTAAAAGAAATAATTGTCCGAAGGGCAAACCTGTACTGTACTCGAATGTACGAAATAATTACTAAAATTTTTATATCTAGTGCAAACTATAGCATATTTATATTCAAATTAATTATTATCTTACAAGAATTCCAGCAATGTAATTTATATTCTCCCAAGTCAATTCAGTTACATTTTATAAGTGATAACTTAAACTCCTCTATATGACAGACAAGATGCACTGGATTAATCTCCCGCCTGCTGGTGAATACCTCACCTCATCCCCCCTGCCTGGCTGTGAACACCTCAACCTCCCCCTGCCTGGCTGTCAACACCTCAACCCCCCTGCCTGACTGTCAACACCCAACCCCCCCCCGCCTGTCTGTCAACACCTCAACCCCCACCCCCTGCCTGGCTGTCAACACCTCAACCCCACCAAACCCCTGCCTGGCTGTCAACACCTCAACCCCCTGCCTCTCTGTCAACACCTCAACCCCCACCCCCTGCCTGGCTGTGAACATCTCAACCCCCCTGCCTGGCTGTCAACACCTCAACCCCCCGCCTGCCTGGCTGTCAACACCTCAACCGCTCCACCCCCTGCCTGGCTGTCAACACCTCAACCCCCTGCCTCTCTGTCAACACCTTAACCCCCCCCACCCCCTGCCTGGCTGTGAACATCTCAACCCACCCCCCCTGCCTGGCTGTCAACACCTCAACCGCTCCACCTTTCCAGAGGTGAAGGTGGTTTTAGGCTTTAAAGTTTTTATCTTATAAAATGTCACAGACTAAAGTTAGGAGAATATAACTTCCATTGCTGGAATCCTTGCAAGATAGCGAATGATTTGAATGTAGACATTACACACCTCAAATAAGGGATAAGGGATTGTGGACCTGTGATTTAAGGGCGATTTAGGGGATTTTTAGGAGTGTTTCTGACTGCGTTTTTTGGCTTTACGCGAGGTCCCAGTAACGTAACCCCCTGTGTAAGTTGCGAGTCTACTGTACAGTATAACCTTTCATGTTAATTTTTTAACTGTTTTAATTAGTTCATCTGTATGTATGTGTGTGTTTGTCCCACCTGGGGGTTATATAATATTCAGGTGTCTTTTTTCTTTAGACTTTTTAATTAATTTGGACTACAGGTACGTCTATCTTTAGTGTACAGGTGCTCAGAACTAGTAAGGGAAGGTAATTGATGTTAGTCAAAACACCAGCTTTTGGTGTACTTAATAAGCTGGTGGTAGTGTACTTCTGCACCAGGGTTTGTGTATGGATGTGTTACAGAGTGTATATATATACATTTATATGCATGCATGTTTACAGGTGATGCTAATGAACCCACGATGGAATGAAAGTCGAGAGCAGAGAATTCTCCTCCAAGAAGCCTCAGAATGTGTCGAGGTTTTTGAGCTTTTTTTAAGATACCTGTATACGGGGCGGCTGAAGGTGTCACATGCTACGGTCCTTCCAATACTAGCTCTAGCAGACAAATACAATGTCAAGGTGAGTGTCCAAGTTTGATCGTTAGCAGTCAACTCTGACTCTTGTTCTGTCATCACATATTGAAAAGAAATTGAAGATTGATCCAAAAATGGCCCCTGAAAGAGTGACACATGTTATATGCACTCCAGGAAATTGAGTCGAAATAAGAGTTTAAATTCTGTTGAGGCAGGAGTAATACCAACCCAAGCACTTGTCTGAGCTGGTCCACTAAAAATATAAATACAATACTATACAAAAAAAAATCCCATTCATAGTGCCCAATATTCAGAGTTTTTACTGTATTTTGAGATAATTTAGCTATCCGTTTTATGGTGAACATAATTTATACCACAGACAAATGTTCAATTAATTTTATATTCCACAGGATCTGATAGACACATGTGTCAAATACATGAAGCTGCACATCGTCTCAGCATCACAACAAAATTATCTGATTGCATGGCTCCAGTACACACTTACTTGTGGGCATTCAGATATAGCAACAGTGTGCTTGAACCATCTGAAGTGGAATCTGGAGCAAGTGGCTGCAAATGATGATTTTGCCTCATGTGATTTAGACCTTCTGACCACAGTGTTAGCACAACATGATGTAGTTGTTCATGATGAAATGGCACTGTATAAGTAAGTGGGACAGATTGAAAAATATTTAGATATCGCTATATTACAGTTAGCTTAAATAAGTATAGATATAATGGTTGCCCCTCGTGTAGCGAGGATGGTCGGCCTAAGGGCCACCTAAGTGTGAATTTGTTTAAGGTGTAGAAGCTGTCGCCAACACAAAAACCACACCCTAAGTTAATGAGCTGCATGACCCAGTGTCAAGGAAAACTCCAAGAAAACCGGACAACTCTCTGACTGCACTGGTTACCATATATCTCGGCGTACAAGGCGATGAGGTGTATAAGACGACCCCCAAAATTTCCATTTAAAAAGTTGGTTTTGAGCTCTATTCGCTGTATAAGACTACCTCAAATGTGACACTTACCATTGGGAGCTTACTGACCCAGTAGTCCTTTACCAACCACCCCACTGACCAATGCTGTATACACATCCTTGGTTATTTAAAATAAGGCCAATTCACTTCAAGTAATGGCATCAAATGTTACCAGTTGGTGTTGTGTAAACACTAGTGACGTCACTTTAACGTCTGTTATTTAACTGGAACTAATGTCGGTGTCGAGTAAAATTTTAACATTTACTTGAAATGGATTTACCGATTTATTTGTTTATTTATTTATTTATTTATAACATACTGTAATATATTAAACACTCTGCAAGTATTTTCTTTAATTTATAAACTTGCTTCGCTACAAAGGGAGGCTATACCCGGTAGGTGAAGTTTACCCGATACATTTATGGTTGCATCATCATTAAGGATCAAACTCCAAATCAGATGACGTGACTTCGGCTTCTTCATTCTCATCCAAAATTTAGCATGAAGAAAACTACCACTGTCGGTAGTTTCAAGAATTATCGCAGTCATTTACTGAATATTCTTTGTAAAAAAATAAATTTTAAATGAAATATTTATAGGAGATAAATATTATGATCAGTAAATATATGGTACCGTTATGCATTACTGGCCACTTCGGACACAAAGACGGGCTAAAAATAGCCCAATCTCCCCCTCTTACAGCGGCCAATGGGAAGTGTCTTGGTAATTAAATTTTATATGTTTATTTTCATTGTTTGTCTAATTTATCATGTATCAAAATAATATTACTTAAAGTTGTGAAGTTAGTAGGCACCTACCAAACAGGGAGGTACTACCACCTGGGAAGATATTGGAAGTATAATGTGTTGTCTAATGGTAGACCCTGCTGCCATATGGCATCACGAAAATTGTGACCAAGTCCTAGGTTGCTGATCTGACTTTCTGCCTCATTTACACACAATTGCAGAGTTTCAATTGTTTCTCTTACTTTGACAACACAACATACATACAGTATATTGTTTCTCACTTTTGATCTTTTTTCATTTTTGTATTTATTTATTGTTCTTTATTACCGGGGTATTATTATTTTATTTTAAATTTTGATTTTTTTATTATAAATTTTATTTACTATGAATTATTATCATTATTATTATTATTATTATTATTATTATTATTATTATTATTATTATTATTATTATTATTATTATAATTATTATAATTATTATTATTATTATAATTTATTTATTATTTATTATTATTATTATTATTATTATTATTATTATTTATTATTTATTATTATTATTATTATTATTATTATTATTATTATTATTATTATTATTATTATTATTATTATTATTATTATTATTATTATTATTATTATTATTACATTTTCGCCCCTTAGACCCCGATGTCGGTCAGTGACTTGTGCCCGGGTGGGCTAATCCCCGTAAAAAAAAAAAAAAGATAATAATGCTATGATTGTTTTATAAATATATTTATTTGTGGAATTATTATTCTGATAATTATTTGTAAAACCTACGTGGTCTCCCAAGGTAAAGCCTGATGACAGTCTGCGTGGGTGTGTCGCTGAGAACTTCTTATGAAGAGAAATGCAAATAAAATAAGGTCTAAATTAATTATTTATGGGAAGTACGTATTATGATCAGTAAAGGTATGCATTATTGGCCAACTCGGACACAAAGGCAAGCGGGAAATTGACCCCTAAAAGTGCGGAGTGACTGCGAGCTCTGGATGTAAGAACAAACACTCCCTTTTTTGTCTCGTCACTGGCAAATGGCGGGCGGTGCATGATGAGCTGCGTTTATTACCGGAGTATATTGTTATTTTACGGTATGTTAGACAGGTTTATAATACATTTTTATTATTTTAATAACCGGTAATCTTATTTTTAATCCAGCTTCCCAAACGTAAGTTTCAGTATAAAATAATTAGTGGCAGGACCTTGTGAGTGGTTTATGATGTTCTCCGTCACCACTCTTCACACGCTAAACCACAATACAGTCAACCCTCGCTTTACGCGGTCCCACTTTACGCGTTTCCACGTTTACGCGGTACCCTGCTGAACACGGAATGCTCTCTTTCCGCGGTGTGTGTACCCTTTTACGCGGAGAGCGGCGCGAGCAGGGTGTGCACAAGGTCGCCTAGTCATCAAAACATTACCGAGTTCTTCACCCGCCACCCACCACAGCCGGCCCAAGTCAGTGATAGTGAGGATATGGACTTATATGGACTTTGAGGGGTTTGACAAAGAGGCCCTGCAAGCCTCTGTGGTGGATAGTGATACAATTGGTACAAGTGATACAGGTGAGGGCCAATAATCTGCCCTCTGCCTCGGAACCAACCCCCCATCCCCGTGTGCCCAGCCATCTTTTCTACTAATGTAAGTGTTAAAAAACCTAATATTATTGATATTTCTCTTAATTATTAATTGTGTGTGCATACCATCATAAAATTAAGAAGTTATTTTTACTATAACGTAGGTATTGTGTCTGAAAAAGTGGAGTTTGGGGGTCGGCCCTGTCTCTATTTCAATTAATCCCATATGTTATGTTGTTCACTTTACGCGTTTCTCACTTTACGCGGGCCGCCGTGGGTTCAATTGACCGCTTAAAGTGAGGGTTCACTGTATTTAAGAGGTAAGAATTTTATACCTGGTATTTAAGACGACCCCTAATTTTGGGCTGATTTTTTTAAGGTTCAAATTCTGTTTTATGGGCTGAGATATACGGTAACCATTACCCTGGAACACCATCAGCAAATCAATTAACATCCAGGTCCCCAATTACTGCTGGGTAGCATTATACCTTGGAAGAAGTAAAAGGGGTATTGTGTCTCCCTTTGATATTTCTTTTGTTTTCACCATTGTCTCTGCAGCAACAATTATGGTGAGTGTGTTGTCAGCATTTCTTTCTACAGCAACACATAGCAGTACAGTCAGCCCTTGTTTTACGCAGGGGTTAGGTTCCTTAATTACCCACTAATGGCCCAAACCACTACAGCTTTTGGGGGAATTCCTATTTCATCATGTTAATTTCTGCAAAATGCCAAAAGCCCTCTACATTAAATATACTGTACTCTGTGTCATAGAAATAGCACCTCTGTGTTAACAACACTTAAGTCTACACTAATAAAGTAAGAATGTAAAAACAACAATTTTATTAATATTTATTAACAAGGTGAGGTAAATGATAAATTTGTGATATGATAATGATCAGCTGTCCAGGTCATCACCAGCTTCCCCGCCTGCATGCCAACACCTCTCGCCAGCCTTCTCTTTGCTACCCTGTTGCCCACCACAACTTCACTAATGCCCCGCTTCCTATTAAAGAAAACAAGTCAAATGAATCTGCAGTCTTCTCTCATATCCTTAAATAAAAATTATGTATTTACAAATAAATACTGTACCATGATAATAATAATAATAATAATAATAATAATAATAATAATAATAATAATAATAATAAATGTAAAGCAGAAAAATAAGTAGCACAAATACAGAAACTTCCTCCTTATTGACTGAATATTTTTTCCTAGTAGTTCAGATAAAACTATGTTCAGTGCTATGATATTTTAGAGGCGCCCCAGTACACTGTCCCGTCAAGAAAGGGTAACTTGGCGCAACAGCTGTCCTGTGGAAGCTTGGAAAATGTCCAGAAAACTTTAATGACGAGACTAATTCTTTAACCCAAGGGAGGAAGGGTGTGGCCAGGGGCTCCTCGTTAAAAGAGGATTTAAAGATCAATCCTGCATTTCTGGATATCACCCTGAAGCCAGGTGTCTCATAATACTTAGCCAATTGTCTTAAAATATTAGGCCCAGGTGTGTTTCATGATATTAAGCCAGGTGTTTCACAATTCTAAGCCAGGTGTCTCACAAAACTAAGCACTGTGTCTCATAATACTAAGCCATGTGTTTCAATACTAAGCCAGGTGTCTCATAATACTAAGCCATGTGTCTCAATACTAAGCCAGGTGTCTCATAATACTAAGCCAGGTGGCTCTCATAATACTATGCCGGGTGTCTCATACTAAACCAGCTACTAAATGAGGAAAGATGTGGTGTTCCCAAAGTTTCAGAATTGGACAGACATACAGTACTGTATCCTCTCATAAAGTTTATCCTTTGTACTTGTGAGGTCAGGAGTTTAATGCTCTTTAACTCTCTTACTGTACAGATGTGGTGTTATCCTGAATTCTCTGGGAAACAACAAACCATCATAACCCAGATCCTCAGTCAACAGTAGGTGACCTTTGTCCTGTCAGAGACTATTCCGTAGAAATCGTCTCCAAAAAGTGAACCGCACACATATCACGAAGGTCAGAAATAAAGGAAGGAACTACCAAGTAAAAAATTAAAAGGGTACCTAAGATAATTCCATTTCACCACCCATAAACCCTCTGGTGACTCGTCTGAGCTTGGAACTTGAAACCTACACCTCATAAGGAATAGGGACATTCCAGAAAATCCATATGTGAAATACATAAAACTGGGGCAGAGGACAGAAATAGCCTCTCTACTTAGTACCTGTGCCAGTAATTGGTAAATGAATAGGAACAGGCTTGGGCAAATTTTGATCAGGAGAGGAAAATGATTCATGGTAGAAAAAAGTGAGTCCCTTAGGTCTTATTGTAATGTGGATGTAGTAGTTTTGCTGACACTATTTCATTGGCTTTCACTTCCCCAACCATCAAGTTAAGTACAGCTGGGTTTTTTGGGGGGTAGCTGTATGGCACAAATTGACCACAGGATCAGGAAGCAAGTACTGTACTGTATTATATCCACTATGTTGCAGTTGCTGTCTGAATTCACCTTCCTGAGGAACAAATGAAACAACTACTGGTAGTGTGTGATTGTCAGTTATAACAAACAAATCTACCATAAAAACAACCCCCAATGAACATTTCCAAGAAAAGGACTTATCATCTAGCATCCATACAGAGTGTAATACAATACTTTATCTATAGAGGAAGCATCTGTGTGAATGATCGGAATTTCAGCAAAGTGCTGATAGTGCACTTGTTGTAAAAACCAATGCTCAGGAAATTACCCATAAAGGAAAGGATTTAACGATCACCACTTGTTGATGCTGATGATAACCAATATACTGTACAGTATTGTGCATAAAAAATACAACATTCCTCCCACTAATATCTTTTCCCACAAACTAATGAGAAGGTTTTGGAATATTGTAAACCATTTCTCCCTCATTTCTATTTTACATGAGGAATGTTCAACCCAGGTCAGATGCCGCCATCCATGTTAAGACCTTTTGGCAAAGGCAGACACTGCCAGGTAGTGACTCAGCTATGCATATGGCACCGCACACATTATTTTTCACTGTCATAAAATGGGATTTCATTCTTCAGGCTTCAATTAATACCAATTTATATTTCAGTGTATGCATTGTTAACAAGTTTATAAGAATCTTAACTGACATTTCCCAAATCAATGTCTTCATAAAAATTTCATAAATACTGTATACATAAGTATAGTATAGTGCTTCCTTTCAGTATTGTTGTGTCTTGGTTACATCGACAAGAGGAGCGCCTTCTTTTGCCGACACCAGTGGCTACTCCAGGAGAACCCCCTCCTACCCTCATCCCTCAGACCCCTAGTACCAGCTCAGGAGTTTCTCTGCCTCCTATTTCAATTACTCCCTCCTGTGGCAAACTTTACCTGCGACGAGATTCAACCACCAGTTCTTGTGATCCAGTGGATCGCATGGAATGGCTAACATATGAAGTTAGTATCATGTTGAGATCTCGATACAATGTATAAAATGAACTTATAGCTTCCTGGCTGTCCTAACACAGCACACACAATTCTTCAACACAATCTCGGTAAAAGATCTCTTACCCCAGTCTTCCTCCTCCCCTCTTATCTCTACCCTTACTGGCATAAATCTTTATCAACCTCTCAACTGCCATGGACTGAAAATACTCACACCACCTTGATACTGTACAGTACAGTACAGTACATTCTTATCCACACTGCATTCAAAGGATTTTTTACCCCACATATTCCTCTTATGTCTTCTTTTCTTACTTTACGAGTCCTCCAGTAGGAGTTAGTCTACCGCGAGTGAATGATTAAACAAATCTGGTTATACTATTACACCATATAGGTACCCCTCAGGATACAAATGAGTTAGGTTAAAAAAAAAAACATTCGGTATGTGAATTTTCGCATTGAATAGAAAAAAATTTGATAAAAATAGGGTTTGGTTCCCCAACAACAAACATACTCCAATGTCATACCTCAAAATCACGAAATTGGTTCACAAATTGGTTCACCTAACTAATGATAAATACAGGTGCTCCTCTACTTACGAATGAGATACGTTCCTGAGGCTTGTTTGTAAGTCCAGCTTTACTCTTGTAGATACCAAACATATTGTAAAAAATTAAAAGATTATGGATATTTAGTACAGCTATACCCTTTAATACAGCCTTAAAACTTGGCTCACTCTTCCCCTCTTAGGTAATGTTTGTTCTATCTGGAATTTTCTTCAAAATAATCCAGTCTCATCTACATTAAACACCTGTTCTGGCAGGTAACCCCCCCTCAGTAATGATGTTTGTATCTCTGAAAGTTTGCAAGTTGAATGTTCTTAAGTAGAGGAGCACCTGTAGTACTCAACTACCCTGTACTATAAATTTACTACCCAACACATTAAAAACGTTAATAAAATACTATCTAAATGAAATACTGTACAGTGAATTCTGCTATAACGCGTGTTTTGATAACGCGAATTGGCTCTAACGCGATTTATGAATAGAAGAACGATATTTGTAAAACGCGAACGCTTGTTTGCTGTAATGCTATTTTTGCCTACTATTTCTCCAATTTTGTAGTATTAACTGTGAATATGGAAAAGAAGAATATCTCCAAGAAGCGTTCTGGTGATCGCATTCCTGGTAATGATCGTAAAAGAAAGGCTATAACACTTGAAGAGAAGCTCGATGTTATCAACCTCAAATTCACCCTTCTCCCCCATCAAGTTATATTCATATTTTTTCAAGGTAAAGTGTTATTTTTACTGTATGATTTCATTATTAGATATGAATGTAACATTTATTTAGACTGCTATCCTTTGTGTTAGGCTAACTACTAAATTTTTTTCGATTTCGAGTAATCTGCACCTAACCCTATTTTCTCCATAAGCCCTGTTATTTCTACTGCGCGAATTTCTATAACACGATGTTTTGCAAGAACGCAACTATTACGTTATAGCGGAACTGACTGTACTCAGCTAAAATTATTAAATAAAAAATAAATCAAAGTTTAAAACAGACACCAGCTGCACCATTTATATAAACACTGGCTGCCTCAAGCGTGGCCACCCTCGTGTCGCCACAGCAACCATTCGGCTGCCTCTGCCAACCCATAACACTCCATCCCCCGTTCTCACACACAAAGAAATGTTTATTCCCTTATGTCTTTAACCTTATGATAGTTATTCTTTTACTTTTTTTTTGTTAGTTATGTATGTAGGATTGTGTGTGCATGTAACATAGTGAAAAAAGTGAAGAAAGTTCAGTGTATCTCTCGAAAACTATGAGTTGAAAAATAATCTTACATAACTTCCTTCAGCTCATCCTACTAACTCTCACTTGTGCACAAAGAAATACTTATTCCCTTTATGGTTTTGACCTTATGATATTTATTATTAATTGTTGTTTTTTCACATTCTGTATGTAGGATTGTGTGTGCATGTAGCTGAATGAAAAAAAAATATAAGGAAAATTATGTTTATAAGTAATATCTCCGTTAGCCGGGATCCCTGATAGTGGGAACTCTCCAATATAGTTGTACCCGGAATTTAAATTGGCTTGGAATTTTTCCCTGGAAAACTCTCTCCATTCTTGGTCTGGGAATGAGTTTCCGAGGTTGAAAATCATGTACATTATCTGGGGAAATTCTGGAAAATCTATCCCCAATTTTTTTTCTGGGTCTGGGAACAAATTCCGTGGATAAAATGATGGATAGTTTTTGGAAAATTCTGGAAACTCTCTTCAAAATACAGTATATTTATTTAATCAAACATTTCGAAAAATATTTGGATTTTTCTTTTTTTTCTAAAATCCAGTTTTTGTGATAAAGGCCAGAATGCGAGGTCTAGCTTTGTACCTGCATATGTATATGCCTTGCATTAAGGTGCCAGGCCAACATACAGGCAATTAAAACATATAATAATTACTAAAATACGTAATATTAGGAGGACACGTCGCTACCTGGCATTTAATTGCAATTCTCAAAACCCCCTCCTGCACCCGCTAGCACAAATATCACTGCCGTCATCTCTTGCCCCAGAGCGAGCAGTAAATGAATGTCAACTCTTGAGGGGTGGAGATGGGTGGGATGTCGATGTCATATTCTGGCCTTTATCACAAAAAAAAATGGTTTTTAGAAAAAAAAAAAAAAAAAAAGCTGTTTGTTCAATCCAGAATGCAACGTCTAGCTTTGATTTCCTGAGCAGGAGGAGAGGGCTTTGATTTCCTGAGTGACGTTGCATATAAGGCTCCGCTAGCTTAGGTCCAGATAATAATTATAAACCTGTTTGGAATATTTTCCTTAATATGAAACATTTACCAGAAAGTAAAATTTTAAGCTACATATCCCATGTCAGGATTTTCACTTTATTCTGATGAGGAAGAAGAAGGTCTTGATTGCACAGATGGACTAGGTGGAGGAGGGGACCCCAGGACCACCACATGTGGAGTACAGTCTCTCCTCGACTTACGACGGGATTCCGTCCCGACGACCAGGTCGTAAGTCGAAAAGGCGAAAATAATACATAGAAATTCTAAAATGGGTCTCTTTTTCTTCTCAGCACCACAAGAACTCTCACTTTTATGCTTGCCAGCCATTTTAAAGGGAATTGAAACGAAAATTTTGTCAGTACACAGTGTTGATCACTAACGAAAGTAGTAGAAAATATGTAATTTGAAAAATATTTTATACGACCACGGCGGTCGTATGTCCGGGTTGTTGTAAGTCGAGTACGTATGTCGTAAGTTGAGGAGTACCTGTATCTTTAAGAGATAGATGAAGATAGCTGTTTTGAAAGGTTTTTGAAGATTTCCAAAAGCCCACTTCTTTGATCTGACTGAGGCTCATATGCTGCAGGAATGCCACAGACCCTGCATATTTTCTGGTGTCATGTGCCAAATATTTCTTGCTAGGGTCTGCTTGACACACCAACTGAGATAAATATTTGTCATTTGACTAGGAAACAATTTCTTACCATCATGTGATGAGAATACATCGGAGCCTCGATTCAGGAATCTGGTTAACCATTCTTGAAGGTTCTTAACTGGGCACAACATATGAGGAACCCTTGTCTCATCCTTTAGTCGTTTTATCCTGATATTGGTTGAGCTTGAAAATCCTCCCTTTCATTTTTTCTTAGAATCTCCATAGGAAAGAGTGACATCTTGCTCAGAAAATACCAATAATAATGGCTTATTGAATATTGAAACCAGTTCTCTGATTCTCATACATGTTGCTATTGCTACAAGGAAGGCTGCCTTCTGGAGCAGTCTGTCCCGGGTCGGATTTATATTGTATTTGGTAACTTTATCTAGTGACCAAGGTGGGATTCTTATAGGCGGAGGGGGTCTCTGAATGAAAAAGGATGATTTGAGCAATTGATAAATTCTGGGGTTCAAAGTAATGTTAAAACCCCACGCCAGAGGGTCAACCAATGCTGATTTATAAGATGCAATTGTAGAACATTGAAGGCCTTTAACTCTGAACAGAAAATCCAAAAATTCTAACACCACTGTCCCCGACAATGTGTCTAGAGCCGTTAACTTAATAAATTTTCGAAAAGGGCTCCAAGCTTTCTCATATTGCATAGAAGTTTGGGTGCCTATGACCGGCTATCACTTGGTTAACTATATTGGAATTACCCAACAATCTGTTTAAACATCTTTTTGAGAAATTCCAAGCATAAAGTGCCAAGGATGTCTCGAACTGAGGGTGCAGTACCTGGTCTCGACATCCTTGTTGCAATTGTAGTGGATGCGGGCACCATTCCAACAGATCCAGACACCACGGTTTTAGGATCCAATATGGTGCAATTAAGAGGACCTTTCCCTGGAAGGATCTGAGTTTGTGAACCACTTTGGGTAACATTTTCACATGTGGGAACAGATAGATTGAATTCCAATGGTTCCAATCTGGGAGTAGAGCATTTCCTGCTGATGAGTGCACAAAAAACTAGTTCCCTGTTCTGCATATATTATCAATATGTTAAATAAATGTTAAAATGACTAATGATTTGAATATAAAAAATGCAAAAATATTAAAGAGCACAACTTTCTTGATATTTACTTCACTGGAAACGAATGTAAACATAGAACAGATTACTGAATTGGCAGACTAGCCCATCAGCTGATCAGTTGATGCTCACAACAAAACGTGGTGTTCGTAAGGATTTTGTTAATCAAATTTTTGTTTGTTAACCGAATTGAAGATTCTTCTGGAAGGTAATTCGTTACCAAAATTTCGTTAACCGAACCGTTCGTTAACCGAGGGACCACTGTACTAATTCTTTGATGTTTATGTGTTGGTCCCGAAGGGAGTTGCTCCACTTCCCTTGGCGGAACTCTTCTTTTGATGAATGGTATTCCCATCTTATCTTGGACGCGTCCATACAAACGACCAAGTCTGTTTGAGGGGGAACCCAGGGTGATGATCCGATTAGATTGACCAATATGTTCACCATGACGGATGAT